TGAGACCTGATAGGCTAGGGTCAGATGCAAGGGGAAAAGGACCTCCTTTTTCAGTGGACTTGGAGAGGGTCATCGGAGGAAAAGAGGAAGGAAGGGTGGGGTTGGGAGGGGATAAGAGAAGGGGCTACAGCTGGAAATAATTGGGCATTAATTGTAATAAATTTATCACAAAGTGAATAAATTTAAAAAATAAATTAAGAAAATTCCAATTTCTATCTCTGTGCATTCAAGGCCAGCCTGGTCTACAAAGTGAGTCCAGGATAGCCAAGGCTACACAGGGAAACCCTGTTATGAAAACAACAACAAAATATCCACTTTCTTTTGAAATTCAAATTCTCTGTAAAATATCCAGGCAGAAGTAGTGCATACCTTTAATCCCAGCACTAAGGAAGCAGTGACAGGCAGATCTCTGTGAGTTCAACACCAGTGTGGTTTACAGCATGAGTTAGAGGACACCCAGGGCTACACAGAGAAACCCTGTCTCCAAAAACAAACAAACAAACAAACAAACAAACAAACAAACAAAAATAAGTCTCTCAACTGTGGGCTCTTGTAAAATCAAAAATTAACTACTTTATTTACTTCAAGAGTAAAGGATCAGAGCACACTCACAATATAAACAAAATAAAACCAAGCTTCAATAGTTTAGATAACTCAGCATCCCATATCTGGGACTCAAATCCCCTGGGCTCCTCTGAAGAGCCTGGGTCACCTCTCTGGCTCCGCTCTGCAGCACACACAGCCTGTTTCAGGCTCTGGAAGGCTCCCCTCCACCACTGCTGCTATTCTTGGTGGTCATGCCACACACCAGCACCACACAAACTCTGGGTTCTCTGTTGCAGCTGGGTTGCACTTCTTCCACCACTCTCCTGGCTCGCACAACACAGGCCCCAGCTGCTTTTCATGATCCCTTTGTGCTTTAGAAACCGGTACCACCTGGGTGACTCTTACACTATCAACCTTGTCCACCTCTGGAATACAGCTTCTCAGAATATTTCACCTCAAGATGCTGGTCTCAATCATTGTTATTTTCTCAGGCTCAGCTAACCAGCATCAATTATCCCAGTAAAGAAAAGGTTTCACTCCAATGTTTGTCTCTTGTTAATCACAGCTGACTCTTCAGCCTCAGGTGACCACAACCACAGAATCATAACTCAAAATAGCAAATATGCAACAGCCCCAAGTCTTTGACTTTCAAAGTTCCTTCTGAAACTTCACAAGCCAGGTCCATCATCTTCATTGCTCTCAACACTCTCATCTTCCAAATGACTACATACAATAGATATTTTCAACAACTAGCACATTTAAAAATAAACAGGGCATGGTGCCACATGCCTGTAATCCAAGCACTTGAAAGGCATAAGGCAGGAGGATCAAGAATTCAAAGTTATCTTCCACTACACACTGACTTTAAGGTTATATGAGATCTGTCTTAGACAAAACAAACAACAAACTCACCAATCTGCTGGGTCAGGTGGTCCATGCCCATAATCCCAGCACTCAAAAGGCAGAGACAGAAAAACTGGTCCATGTACCAAGGCCAACTTGGTCTATGCATTCTAGGCCAGCCAGCATTACAAAGGGATCCCAGAATTCAAACAAACAAACAAACAAACAAACAAACAAACAAACAGAAAATCTAGAAACAAGGGTCAAGGAACACGGTCGCACAACATTATAAATGCCCTTAATATCCCATAATTGTGCATTAAAAATGATTGAAATGGAGCCAGGCATGGTGCTCACACCGCAGAGGCAGGAAGATTGCTACAAGTATGAGGCCATCCTGATCTACAAATCAAGTTCTAGGCCAGCAAAAGCCACAAAATAAGACCTGATCTCAAAAAACGTAAAGAAATTTTGAAATAAAAAACTTTTATATGTTTTTATCACAATTTAAAAGAACAAATAATGTAGTTAACTAAAACCCACTGAATTAGGTAACAAGTGAACAGAATGAAAATTACATCTCAAGCTGTCAATGGTTCAGTCAGTAAAGCACCTTTGAAAGCATGAGGATTTGAATTCAGATCCCCAGAAACTACATAAAAGTCTAGGCATGGTGGTACACACACTTGTAATCCCAGAAAGAGTGACACAAGAGGTGGACACAGGCAGATGCCTGGAAGCTTTCAAGTCAGCTACCCTGGTGTATGTGGTGAAGTTCCAAGCCAATGTGAAACTGTTTCAAACAAAAAGTGGAAAGCGCTTGAGAACAAACACCCAAGGTGTTCTCTGACTACCATACATATGCACCCCCGACCCAAACAATGCGTGTGGAGAGAAGTCACGGAGTCCTGAGTGAATGTGCACTGTTGACATAGGCACAGTTATGTCAAGGCGCGGTATTTGAAATCATGCCTTAAACTCATGGGAGTGGCAAAGCCTTCCCCAGGTAAGGCTAAGAGGAATTGGCAAAACCTTCTTTTAGACCAAGTATGAGTGTTTACTAACAGTGGACCAGTGTGCAAGAACTTCCAGGATGACTGCAACCTGCTGCTTCCCACGGAGAGTTGCTAATCCTTCCTCCTTGTGCTCTATGTAATAAACTCACTGAGCTTCCGGGTTGTGCAGTAGGCGCTCTCCATCAGAGTAAGTACAGGCCACCCAATCTCAGCTTTATGTATGTGTGTTGCTTTTTCAGTGTCGGTTATTTCTTTATTGCAGTGTCAGCCCAGTCAGGTTTCCAGGAACAAGCCATGAAGACTGCATCCACATGAACACGAACACACACATACTCTACGTATGTATTTATATATAATTTATACCTCAATAAAAATATTAGGTGTGGTGCACACTTTTAATCCCAGCAAGGTGGAGGCAGAGGCAGGCAGATTTCTGTGAATTCAAGGCTAGCCTGGTCTACAGAGTGAGTTCCAGGCCAACAAGGGCTACAGTGAAACGCTGCCGTGAAAAACCAACCTGCTTACTACAAAATTGCATACTGTTTTAGTCAGCATCAGTCTCATATGCACTCCCTATTCTGTAAAGATTGATTTATTATGAATTTATGTATGAGTGTTTGCCTGCATGTGTGTATGCTCACTACATGCATATCTAGTACCTGTGAAGACCAGAAGAGACCACATCCCCTGGAATTGGAGTTACAGATGGTTGTGAGGAACCACATATGTGCTAAGAACTGAACCCAGGTCCTCTGCATGAGCAGCAAGTGCTCTTAACTACTAAGCCATCTCCCAGGCCCTCAAACTTCTTACATTTATTGCATCTTTCGACCTTTACCATCTTAGTTTGTGCAATTACTCTGTGATGCTTGTACAATGATAGATTAATCTACTGATGCATTTGTCAGACCATACATAGCCCTGCAGTTTAGACACAAAACTGCCTAATCTGGGAGTGAGGTAGAGAGATCAAAATTAGATAGTTTCTTCTAATTTTGTTGAACTCTTATTCAGATGTTAGATGTCTTGTTTTAATCTTTCATGTAGCTTGTCTTTTCTCTTACCATTTCTGCTTTCTAAAAAATCATTTAGGGGGCTAGAAAAATCAGTCAGTCCTTAAGAAAGTTTGTTGCTCTTCCAGAAAACCTGAGCTCAGTTCCCAGCTCCCACACTGGGCAGCTTACCACCCAATTCTGACCATTCTGGCTTCCACATGCATGCAAATGCAAACACACACATGCCACATGGATGCACATGCACACACCTTTAAAAATCATGTGAGGGATCTGAAGAAATGGCTCAAGGGTGAGGAGCAGTAACTGCTCTTTCAGATGACCCAGGTTTGTTCCCCATCATCCACATTGCTCATAACTGTCTTTAATTCTAGTTCCAGAGTATCTGATGCCCTCTTCTGGCCTTCTTGGGCACCAGGCGCACGGTACAAACACATAAATGCAAGCAAAACACTCAGGAACATTAAAATAAAAAAAAAAAAAGTCATAGGAGCTGAAGAGATGGCTCAGTAGTTAAGAGAGCATACTACTCTTTCAGAGAACCTGGGTTCAGTTTCCAGCACCCACATCAAGTGACTCATAACTACCTGTATGTCTAACTCAAGGTCTGACAACCTCTTTGGGTTTTTTTAGGGCACCCTAAAATGTGTGGCATGCACACATATTCACATATAAATAAAAAGAGGAAATAGGACATGAAGAAAGAGCTCAGTAGTTAAGAATTACTGCTGTTCTTCTAGAAGTACGCACTCAAATACCAGCACCCATGTCAGGCAGCCCAAAAGCACCTATAACTCTAGCTCCAGGGCATCCCAATGTCCTATTCTGAGCCCTTCGGGCATTAAGAGTCCTCCCCCCTTTCTCTCATACATTCACATGAATAACAAGAATATTTTTTATGATAAAAATATCTATATCCAAGGTTCAGTCCTTAAGTATTACTCTTAAAATTTACATTAAAATTTTTGTTTGTTTTCGAGACAAGGTTTCTCTGTGTAGGTCTGGCTGTCCTGGAACTCATTCTGTAGACCAGACTGGTCTCAATCCACCTGCTTCTGCCTCCTGTACTGGGATTAAAGATGTGTGCCACCACCGTAACATTTAACCACAGTAAACATTTAAAAAAAAAATAACTGGGGGCTGGAGAGATGGCTCAGAGATTAAGAGAACTGGCTGCTCTTCCAGAGGTCATGAGTTTAATTCCCAGCAACCACATGGTGGCTCAACAACCATCTATAGTGAGATCTGGTGCCTTCTGCTTGGCATGCAGCTGTACATGCAGGCACAACACTGTATACATAATAAGTAAATCTTTGAGGGCTAGAGAAATGGCTCAGTGGTTAAGAGCACTGTCTGCTCTTCCAAAGGACCTGGGTTCAATTCCCAGCATCCACATGGCAGCTCACAATTGTCTATGCCCCCAATTCCAAGGGATCTGACACCTTCATACTAATGCACATAAAATAAAATTAAATGAAATTATTAAAAAAATAACTGGAGAAAAACATTTTTACTGACAACCCCAATTATTTTAAAATATTTGCAGAGTTCTATATTCTATGAAACGAAAAAAAAAACCAACCTCTTTTTCTTCTCTTTCAAATTGTTTTATTCTGCATATAATTTCCTTTGCTGCCTTCCAGTACTCTTTAAGATTCTCCTTTTCATTTATGTCCTTTAGTTGTTCTGCTCCATTTTCATGAAAAGTATTCTCTCCTAGACTTAGAGATAACTTCTCAGCTTTGTAATATGGAACAGGGAGGGGTAGGGGAGAAGGGATGAGTTTATCATTAGTAGAAAAGTTAATGTCACACTTAAAGGAAAACTACATATTCCACCCAAAGAACACACAGCAGAGACTTAGAACTTAGGCACAAATTAGACTCTATTTTTCATAGTTACAGAAAAATAACATATGAAAATGTTATTCCAGATACAAGATTACTGGCTTTAAAGTAATTTGTTTGGAATGAAAGAATTAAAGTCAGAGTCAATCACACGTTAAGCATATGCTCTACTACTCACTACATCTCTAGTCCCACAGTAGATTGATTGTTTTGGTTAGGTTTCCCTTCACTTGACACAAGTTATAGTCATCTGGGAAGAGAACCTCAACTAAGATTGCCTGTATCAGACTGTCTGTAGACAATTCTTTGAGTCTGTGGGGACATTTTCTTAATTAATTATTGATGTAGGAAGGCCCAGATCACTGGAGGAACTGCCATCCCTGGACAGGTAGTCCTGGGTTGTATACAAAGACGAGCTGAGCAAGCCATGTAAGCAGTATCCCTCCACTGTCTCTGATTCAGTTCCTGTCTCCAGGTTTCTGCCTTGAGTTCTTGCCCTTGCTTCCCTTTATGATGGACTATAAAGGGTAAACAGAAATAAACCCTTTCCTTCCCAAGCTGCTTTTGGTCACAGTGCTTATTACAACAGTAGAAAGCAAAAGGGGGACAGAGATATGTTTACAACATTGTCCTTTTAATAATTTATTATGATCATAGTTTTTCATTCACAAAAACATATTATAGCGATTACCAGCTCTCTGGGCTCCGGCTAGACTGCTCATCAATTCTTTGAATACACTAGGCTCCCTCCTAAGCTAGGACCTGTGCTTAGGCCCAAGCTATTCGCCCATAGCAGATTTCCTCTTCTCACAGGATTAACTCTAGACATTCTGATCTCTGTTCAAAAGTCACTTTCTTCCTAAGATTTTGGGCCCTTTCTCCCAAAACCTTTACTGCTTTAAATCTGGGTCAAACCACTTTGTTATAGCTTCCCACATATCTGCAATCCACTCCCTCACAATCTTTATGTCAATTTATAATAATACCTAATCTCAATTTTTAGATTTTCTTTACTTAGACTAAACTTATGGGCACATAGTTTTCTCATAACTGTACCCTCAATCCCAATGCCTTACATGGTACTTAGCACATAACAAAAATTCCAATTTTAAGTAAATGAACAAACGTACTCTATAACTTAGAAATAAATTGCAAGGGATAAAATAAGTAAATTCTCTCAGCTGATGCTATCTGGGTATTCTCTTCTACACACAGAGCTTGAATTTGTTGAAAATACCCTAGTAGTCATTTCCAAATTATGTATGTTCTTTTCAAACCCTCCCCCCAGCAAAAAAAAAAAAAAAAAAAAAAAAAAAAAAAAAAAAAAAAAAAAAAAACAACTTTGAAGCTAAAACAGCTTGGCTCATTAGAGCACATATAAATTTCTCTTTAGCAACTTGGGTTATTTTCTTTTCCTTTGGAACAGGGGTCTCACTATGTAACTCAGGTTGGCCTTGAACTCACAAAGATCTGCTCCTAGGCCTGAAATCAAAAGTGTATATATCACTATACCCAAGGCTGATACTTTGGGGTTTTTGTTGTTGTTGTTTGTTTGAGTCAGAGCTTTATTTCATAGCCTTGGCTGGCCTGGAATCCCCTATGTAGACACTAGTCTTGAACTCATAGGGATCTGCCTGCCTCTGCCTCCCAGGGCTAGGATAAAGGTGTGCACTGCCACACCCAGCCAGTTGGTACTGTCCTAAAGTAATGTAAACTTACTAATCTTTTTGCAGTTGTAAAGCACATAAGTGGCAGCTTTGCTTAGATCTTCATTCTTAAAATCAGTTAAGGCTTGTATCATCAGTGGAAGCCCATTGTTTTTTAAAAGTTCAAACTGATTTTCCTCTGTAAAAAATATCAAAAATTAAAAATTTTCATAAAGTATGAGGTTACAATGCATCACTGTGATAATTATGAACATAATTCAAACTTTAAAATAAAAATATAATTTCAAAAGTATTTTCAATTTAGGTGATAATCTGCTTACACAAACTACAGTTTCATTTCTAAAATATAGCCACATTCTAAAATAAGATATTTCTAAAATGTAGCCACAGTGTATCACACCTCATAAGGGTATATAAATAGCTCTCATTTGGTTTTTTTAAAAGTGGAAACTGGAGAGATTACATGGTGATTAAGAGCACTTGCTGCTCTCACAGAGGAACCAAGTTAGGTTCCCAACACCCACATCAAGTGGTTCACTACCATCCATCACTCCAGGGGATATGATACCCTCCCTCTTCTGTCCCCTGTGGGTGCCCAGAGACATGCAAATACATAAATAAAAACACTCTTAAAGATTAAGAGAAAGAAGAGAGGGATAGAGGGAGCAAAGAATGAGGGAAGAGAAACAGAAAGGAGAAGAGCAGAAAAATGGGAAAGTGAGAGGAAGAAGGGAAATGACTAGGAGAGAGGAAAGTACAGTCTGTTAGAAAGAAGGATTAGATCAGAGGGAGACTAGGATGCAAATAGAAAGAGGAAATAAAACCTTTGAAAGTTTTCACTGAAGGTTAGAAGAATTGTCCTTTCAAGGGGTTTAGTGAGATAACAGGATTATACATGTAAACTGACATGGCAAGAAGACAAAAAATGGAGAGAGACAAGAAGGAGCAGAGGAGGTAGCTGTTACAATTAATTGTACTGGTGAAAGTGGAAATAAGCTAGGGGCAACGGAAAGAAATATAAAGAGAGGTAGAACTAGAGGCTTCAGCGACTAACTGAATACAATATAAAAAAAAATAAGAAGCTTAAATGACTAAGAGAAAAGCTGAATTTTAAGCCTTTCATACAACAAGAGGGGAAAGAAGCAAAACCCCACTGTTTCAATACACACACTGAATTAAAATTGAATACTCACCACAATCCTCTGTGCAGTGACCAATGGCAAGTATGATGCTAAATTTTTCTCCTGAATCAAGACTTTCATGAAGCAGTAATGCCAGAAGTGTAGAAACAATGTGGTATTTGGATAATACCACTGTAAAAGTAGCTAATAGTTTAATACAGGAAAAAAAAATAAGTACAAATTTAAAATTTCTGGTGTACTTGTACATGTTTTCAGAGCTTATTCAGGAAGAATATCATATGCCTATATACTATCTAATATATATATGTCATGTAGCATCCACTATATGCATACACATATGTCATTTTAAGTAAATACATTATAAGAAGATGATGGCTTATTATAGCCCTAATTATATATTCTTTTTGCTGTTGTTTTGAGACATGGTTTCTCCATGTCGTCCTGGCTGACCTGGAACTCTCTATGTAATCAGGCTGGCCTCAAACTCACAGAAACCCACCTGCCTCTGCCTCCCCAGAGCTAAAATTAAAGGTGTGTGTCATAGTATCTAGCCCTTTATATTCTTTTATAAAGAAAGTTTTCTTCTTACTTGCTTTGGATGGTGCTGTAAATATGAACCAATACTGTAATATTCCTAAAATCAGAATATACATACATTTACCGTATATATCTACTCATATCTACACTGGACATTAAGGATATTACAAGATAATCAAATTCTGCTTGACACTGAAATACTCTCTTACCTGGCTATGATGGTACTAATGTTAATGATGTAATAAAGGATATATAAACCTATGAAGAGCTGTGATGAGATACAAGAAGTCTACTATGTTAAGCTATACTTTTCCTCATAGGATACATATTTATTTTACTAAGACAGGCTCTTACAGAGCCTAGGCTGGCTTTAAACTAATTAAGCAGAGGCTAACCCTGAACATTGATCCTCCTGCCTTTACTTCCTAAATGCTGGGTTTATAGATATGCACTACCCTGCAGGGCCTTCATAGTGCTTTTAACAAAATTCATCCAGAGTCTAATAATATTGGTATGAACAAAAAGGTTATGAACTACTCAAAGATCTTTTTTTTTTTTTTTTTTTTTTTTTTTACATTTACTTATTGTCTTTGTGTATGCAATTGCATGTGTGCCATGGTGCACACACAAGGTCAGAGAACAACTTCATCGGGAGTCAGTTTTCTCCATCCACCATGTGGGTTCTAGGATTGAACATACAGATTATGTTGGCAGCAGGTACTTCTACCTGTTGATACATCTCATGGATCAAGGGACTATATCGCAACTATTTTTGTGTCTCCAGGACCCAGCACACAGCAGGTATTCAGTAACTACTTATTAAGTAGGCATCTAGAGATGCTTAGTAGTTAAGAGAACTAGCTGGTCTTACAGAAGTAGACTCAGCTTTAGTTCCTAGCACTGACATGGTGGCTCACAACCATCTGCATCTCCACTTCCAGGAATTTAATGTCTTTTTGTGGTTTCTATGGGCACTAGGCACACACATGGTATACATACAAACATTAAGACAAAACTCATATACATAAAATAAATCTTTGAAAAGTCAGCCATCTACTTTTTGGGTTGTTTGTGAATGTAAAGACTTCCTTATTAGAAGGACTTACAGACTACCGTTCTAAGTGCTTATACAAACAAGAAGATGTGTCCTTAGCTCTGGTTCTGCTGTGCACTCATGCCCTGGGTATGTCAGATGTCACACTTGTCACAAAAAGGTATATTTTAATTTTTTAAGTTTTATGTATATTTATGTGTCCCTATAGAAGTATACACTACATGTTTGCAGGTACCTGCAGAGACGAGAAGAGGTATTAGATCCTTGGATATGGAGTTACGGGTGGTTGTGAGCCACCCAGAACCTGGGTGCTAGGAACTAAATTCAGATCCTCTGTAATAGCAGTAAGAGCTCGTAACTGTTGAACTACCTTTCCAGCTCAAATCTAATTATTTACATAATTCCCCAAATTTTATGAGTTTTCCATTTCTGATATCTTAACGTCTTGATTTGTTATCTAAAAATTTTTATTAAAATTGCTTTTTTTTATTTTTAAAGAGAGGGTCTCATGGTGTTATCAGGGCTGGCCAGGAACTCAAGAGATCCACTGCCTCTGCCTACCAAATGCTGGGACTAAAAGCATGCACCACTACATCTAGTTAAAACAACTTTTTAAGTGAAATAATGATTTAAGAACAACAGGATCTTATTTTGATTCCCTCATTAGCCCTAAAGTCAGAAGACTTAGCTATGCATCCTTAGGGAAGTTGTAATTTTCCATTGGAAAATAAGGAATAGGGATAGGTAATTTCTATGATTCCTTTCCATTTGTAAAAAGCTAGAAAAATTGCCCACAATAGAATTTAATGCAGCATTTCTACATTCAGCATGTTCCGTTCAAACAAAGTTCAATTACAGAAAACTGACTAAACATTTTCACTCACAATTATTAGTAATACATGCATTCATGGTCTTTGTCACCACCACTGCAAGCTTTGCACTGGAAAGAGTATTGTGTGACTCAGACTCCAGTTGGACGAGAACTTGAGATAGAACATCTAGTCCACCCGCAGATACAAAGCAGTTCTGAACATGTGCTAAGGAATAAGGCAGTAAAAATATTAATTTCTCAAAAAAGACAAGTGCATTGTTTCATTCAATTATCTTATGTTAAATACATTTAATTTCAAATACTGAAATTCCCCAAAATTACAGAATTAGAAGTTCAACTTCTATTTATGTACCTACACACACATCCATACATATAAATAGTTACACTCTCCTTGAACATAGTACAATTATATATATATATATATATATATATATATATATATATATATATATAT